GATTTTCTTATACATTATATTATTAATTAGTTTTTTTTAATTAAAATACTTATTAGATAAACGATTTAAATGTTTATATTTTGTTATAATTAAATAGAATATGATGAAATGGATGGTACGATTGAAAAGCATGCGGCCCCAACTTTTTACACCTTATCAGGAAGAGATCACACATTGTGATGATTGTGGATGCATTCCACAAGTAACAAAATGGATGAATCATGAATTCTATTATTGGTACATTAAATACACTTTTAAAATATATTTAAAATCTTAGGATTCTGTTAAAATTTCTTAAAAATATGATTTTGAAATCCCTGAGGGTGGTTGGGATTTCGTAGGATTTGTATATAATAATATTTAAAGTATGTTACAAACATTTATTTTATAATAAATTCATTAATAAAAAAAAGTAATTTTATTATTTATAAATTGTTTCTATAAATTATCTATACTACCTTATAAACCAGATTTATCAAAAGTTTTAAAAATAATTTCTAATGCACAAAGTACTATACATTTTTGCACAAAGTCTTAAAAACAACTCATAATGCATTAAGTAGTACTACTTTATGCATTTAGTTTTAAAATCTATTAATCTACGATTAAAATAACATATAGTGCAAGTTACCAATCACATTGTTACCTTTTCTTTTCATGTTTCCAGTATATTTTTGACATCTTTCACTCATACATTCACCCTCTCACACCTATATGTCTTTTCCTCATCCCCCAATGTGACATTCAAGCTGGTATTGACCATAAGTTATTAAAATTTATTTCATTCATCTCCCGTTTAATTGCTCTATAACTCTCGCTCTCGGTCTCGTTCTCGATATCTTGATTATTTGCTCTTGGTGTAAATCGAACACATTTGAGGAGTCGCTTAAATATGTTGGATTTTAAATATATTGAATTTTAAACTGTCATACAATTTTTTTCGTTGATACAAGTGATTGGAACCATAACTCTTATTTATTCAAATTGTATTAATATGTAAAGACCAATTGTAACATATATCATCGTTAAATACTATCTAATAAACCAGTGAAACTTCAAAATCATTAAAATTCACAGCTCCTGCCGCATTGTGCGGGTACACAACTAGTTTATAAAAAATATAACTCCATTCCAAGTCCATCAAACCAAACACACAAACGATTTCAAATCTCTGCAATTCCAAATCCCTACACAAAATCCAAATCCCTTGAAACCATTCCATCAAACCAAACGCACCCTAAAAGTTTTATTTTTTGTATTGCTCTAACATATTTTTATAATGTTATATAAAATAGAGAAAACATGAAAAAGAAAACTTTAAGTTTAGGGGATTCTATAAAACTTAATGTAAAAATTTCATGGATGAGTTTGAATTATTATTATTTTATATGATGTTTTTAATAAAAAAAAAAAACGTATTAGGATGATAAAATTAGAAAATATTATAATGATAATAATAAGATTTATGTTGAAATCTTCAAAACTGAAAATCTCGTGAGTTGAATGTAATTCTTTTTAAAGATTAACTTCAAATGCTCCATTTTAGATAAATTATATAAAAAAAATCTGTTGGAGATACTCTTGAGAGCTGTTTGACATTTACTGAATGATTTGATGCAGAATAATTAAGTGATCAGACTGATTAAGAATCTCTTATGATATAGTACAAAAATGAAATATGGTTGTTTGGTAATTGTTTGGAAGGAAGTTAAGGCACTGAATGGTTCATAGAGGCTCGAGATACATAATCATTCAGATGGTTTTAGAACCATTAAATGACGGGTTTTTTTTTGTCAAACAATATTCAGCTCTTAACGATTCAGATGTTGTCTCTTAATGTAACTATTAAGAGGTAAACAAACAGCCCCTTATATATTACATCCTTGTCTATTTTTTTATTTACACATGTCAACATCAAAACTTACTTTTTATATTCACAATGTATGATTTAACGTAATTCTGACATAAAATGGGTACATATATGATGCAGTAGGAAGTGACAAACGTCTAAATCTGTTTAACAATCGAGAATTACGAACAATAAAAATCAAGAGAAACTCTCAACGATAAGAGTTTTAATTGATAATCTCAAAAACATTGAAGACAATAATCCCTATTTATAGTCTAAAGTAGCTCAAAGATAACTGCCAAATACGAAACTAATAAAGTAATTAAAGACAAAGGAAAAAAAAAACAAATAGGACAACAACTCGGATCAACAGTGCATTCACCTAGAGGGCGAGGCCGATTTTTCTCACGGGCTTAACTGCGTAGATACCCGTGGCAGCTACAGTTCGACTTTTGCTTCCAGTAACTATAGTCGTGTGGATCTCCGTTTGTGCCTTTTTGTGATTTTGAGCTGATCATCGATCTTGCTTGCGAGTCTCTTTATATCAAAATAACGTTACTAATCTATAACGCCAACGTTTTATCTTATTTAAAAATAAGGGTTTAGAAAATAAAATGCATTCAACCTGAACAATCATTTTCTAAAGATACGCAGATTGTTTATGTGAATACACATATACATATTTAGAAAATTAGGATCTGAAGAGGATTAAATGTATATAAATCTGGATTGGACGCGATTAGACGGAGAATTTGGAGGTATGCAGATGAAATATTTGTCTCATTTAGTCTCACTGAATCCAACGGTTAATCAAACATGAGATAACAAGTTTTTGTTCTGTCAGGTCTCATCCTTTTTTACGTACCAGATATCACTTACCACATACCAGATACACTCTTAAGAATAGATAAATTGTTTCTTTCAAGACACCTGACTTGCAAAAAATATATAGGGAAGTTGAGAGATGTAAAATGTTGAATGATTGCATAACTGGTTAAAATGGGGTTCGAATTAAGAAATTATGTATTACTGAGTAAGGCGAATGATTGTGTGAGAATAAGAGTTAAATGTAAGAATCGTAAGAAGGGATCTCGACCCTTGATCATCTTTAATCTCAAACCTACACATGAATCACGCTTGATACAAGGATTGATCTGGTGCATCTAAGAGTGAAGATCCATTATTACGCTTCTCACCTTAACTCAACTTCTCACCGAAACCCAACCCTACTGAGCAATAATTAATATTTAATAAGATTTTATTTTATTTTTTTAATTCTTCTTACCTAAAATCTGTATTTTTCTATAGATGCTAAAAATGTTTTCTAGATAATAAATCAAATAGAAACCAGTTAAAAGTTATAAATCGTAAAAACCAATTTCATATATTGTTTTGTAGGTGAAACATCATATATGAAACACAAAGACTATGAAATTAACCAAACCCATCAAATGAGTGATTTTTAACCTACAGTTTATATTATTTGACATGTTTTGTTACTGTATAATAGACTGCTTGATTGGTTTTCTATTAAATTTTGTATTGATTAATCTGTCTGTATATATTGAAAATCCTTTTGTTTGAGATGATTTTTTCATAGATTTAAAGTGCGTGTTTATTAATCAGTAGAAACATGTTTAGAAAAAAACTTGTCTTTCTATATAAAAAACTCCACCTAAAAAACTTATTGAATAAACTAACTCTATATCATTAAACCACTATCAAATAGTCAAATATAACTTACTGAATAAGTTAGGAGTCCATTAAGCTCTTAACAAACAAACATAACACATGAAATTTGATTTTTATGATTTTTTTTGGGGGAAAAGTCTAAAAAAATTCAATGGACTTTAGTGTTTGGAATGATTAAGTCATTGGACCATTTTTTGTAACAAATAAGTTATTGGACATTCCAAAACATGTTAAATAACTCATTAGATTTTCTAAAACATGCTAGATACATTTTTATGACTTACACAACTAATTAATGTGGTAAAATAATGGAAAAAGTCTTAAAAAAGCCAAGGGATATTCATATTTTGAACGGTTAAGTCTTTAAACATTTTTTAACTAACTATAAAATAAATAAATATACCAAAAAATACTTACATTTACAAAAAAATAATTATATTTAAAAAAGAGTTTTGATAAAAGTTTATTTTAATTAAAAGTAAAATATATTCTGTCAGTGATTTCATTGGGGTTTTTTTTCGGACTTTTATCACTATTTTACCAATTTAATTAGTTGTACAAGTCATAAGA